TTTATTTTTAAATTAGAGTGAATTATCTCTGTTTTTCCTAAGGTAGCGTCGTTTCTCCTTTCCCAGTTTTCTTTTTCCCACTTCCTCTTCTATTTCTTCATTTCCCTCTCCATTTATGGAGTAATAACTGAGTATAAAAACAATAATTAATTTTAAGTATGCTATGCATGCATTTTTGGACGTTCAAGATAGAGTAAAGAAAAAAATATAGAAGTAAGAATACCACTGCCTGTGACTAGACAGTTAAATAACCCATAAATTGGTAATAAAAATTGAGCTACGTAATATTCCATTCTTATTTCTCAGCTACGACTGAAAATCATCCAGGAACGACTGTAACAGGATCCAGTTTTATTTTTCATTTTATAGGACAGTCGTTCTGAGTCACAACTCTCGAGTTAGTCAGTGTTATGTTCTTAAGTCACTGAACTTAAAAAAAATTTAATCATTGTATATGTTCTCAGGACAATGACTTACATTGCATAATGTTATTGTTCATAAAGGAATTATAGTCTTGCAGTTTTCTCTAATATTCCCATTGTCATTATACATTATAAGTGGCTAATTTTATCAACCCTATTTCTTCTTTAAAAGAGGATAACTTGATGATAGAGAAGGGCTCTTCATCCATATAATTGGAGCTAATCTCCCCTTACTTGGATCAAGCACTTTTGGACATAATTTCAAGTACCGCTCTTTGCAATGATTGATAACACTGTGTCTTCCCACTGTGAACAGATACATGGAGAGTACGAGAGGAAGCCCCTTCCCCCATACCACTAAACAGTGAGTTGAACACCATTTGTGGGTTTATTGGGTTTAAAACTTATCGACTGCGCAAAACGTCATTAAAACTGCATATAACCTGTTCACCCTCGGTCATAAATACTTTAATCCCTAAGACAGGGACTGAAATAAACTGTCAGTTTACATGCCGTATCTTCCTATAAAATACATAATCATGCTTAAAAAATAAATTTCAATGAATGAATATATTCAATTCACTTGCTTGATACCTAATTTTTACTACATAAACCTTAAAAATCAAATACACATAGTCATATTGCTGACAATTTCATATATATGTTTTATAGTTACGGAAGAGGAGCCTGCCAGAGCAGCCAGACAGGAAGGTCAGTGCATTAACTTTTTAATGTTTTATTTTTATTGGCAGATACTAAGTCACGTATGTATTTACGGTTTTGTATTCAGTTATATGCGTGATTGTGTGACTATGCGTGACTGTGTGAATATACGTGACTGTGTGCTCGTGTCCGTAACTGCGTACGTGTTCCTGGCTGGCTGTAAGTGTGACTTGATACAAACGCCAGCAAGAATCTGTTTATATTTGAGTTAGAAAACTGATTGAACTACTCAGGATTAGCAGTTTTATGTAAATGGGTGTGCAAGGATGACATCCATTATTGTACGATGACTGTCTCCTGCAGGCACTGACGGAGGAGGACCTGGTAAAGAAGAAGAAGAAGACGACGAAGAGGAGGAGGAGGACGGTGAAACTGACGTGCCGTGGTTCGTGCCTGGGTGCAGGTACTACTGCATCTGGAAAGAACGTCCATACTGTTGTGATGATGGTACCCGCGATCGTAAGTACCTCCGAGCCAGCAGATATTCCACACCTTTCTTGTCTCGATTTGTATCTGTGTGGATTGAGTCTTAGCTCCTGACATTGCCTTTTAACCTACGATAGATCAGCCTCGTTTGTTTCTAACCATTTTCAGTCTTAGCTACGCTTACATAGAAGAAATCACAACACAGCACGTGATTTGTAAAAAACACCACAGTGGAAAAATCTGCAGGAAAAATTAAGCGTTTTTATGAGCTTACACACGTGAAAGCTCTCGGGTTTTCCTTTTTATTTTTTTTACTTTTGTGTATGGAATTTGTTTCAGTCTCTTCCTCGTTCAGTTCGTTAATGCTTCCTGAAACTGAAGAAGTGTTTTCTAACTATCATTTGGTCTAACGATTCTGTAGCCTATCTGGACCATTTGTTTCCGCACCTTTCTATTCGTACTTAATGTTTTATACATCATAATCACATAACTTCTCGGTCTTTCACTGTTAGATTCAGCTCATTTTAAAAGCCCCTCTTTGCAGTTTATGCCCTTCAGCTATTGCCCATCATGACTTCAGCAATAACCACCACTGCTTCTTTCCTAGTTCCTCCTGACCACAACATCCACGAAGGCCTCGCCTGCCCACCGATGGACGATCATATCTGCAAGAAAGACGGCATCTACCTGGCCACTTACTCCATCAAGGTAGGCTGTTGGTGGTGGTGGTATTGTGTCATAACTACATATATATAATCCATGGCGAATAAGTCTAATTGGTCATTTGGGGAAGTTGTGACTTGATTGTGTTGGTTGTGTTGCAGACTGCGAGGTACTCTGGATCGCTGCCGCTGCTGAAGGGGTCACCGAAGGAACAGATGATGTGCGCCTCTGACGGCTACTGCAGGGAGGAAGAGAAGTGTTGCCCCAGTTTGTGTGCTGGCAGACACATCTGTCTCCCAGGTCTTCTGCCTCTCCGGACAACTGTAGGCATCCCTGGACTGGAGGGAGTGAAGGAGGATAATATGGAGGAAGAGGCCGATGGAAATGTGATGGAAGAAGGAGAGGAGCAACTTCCTCAGGAGGATCGCGAAGATGAAAAATTGATGGAGGAAGATGGAGTGAATATGGAGGAAGAGGACAAGGAAGAGGAGGAAGCAATGCATGAGAACGAGGAATAGTGGTTACATAAAGGATAAACCGAGAAAGTGGAAAAAACGTATTTTTTCTTTCGTTCAAGCACAGCATTAAACCCATTAGGGCCATAAAGCAGTGAACTTTTGAGGAATACGAGAGTATCTCGCCGCTTTTACCAAAGATAATGCTGCATTTTTTTAACCATGGATTGTTAGCAGTATTTCCCAACACTCACTCCATGGACACCATCCGCTCTCTTCCCCACCATGAAAAGAAAAGGAAAATGATGTGAGGAAATAGATAAAGGGAGAAAACGACCAGTCAAAGTCATGGAAAAATAAACAGAAATGCAGAATAATTCTATCCTTTGGAGAATTAGACACATGTGCAACATCTGGGTATCTTTAATGTAGACGTTTCGCTATCTAATGGCTTTATCAATACAAATTCTAGGACAAAATCTGAAGACAGTAGAACTATAAACAAAAGATAAGGTAATCAGTCCCTCAGCTGAAGGACTGATTACCTCACTAAAGACACCCAGAGGTTGCACAAGTGTCTAATTCTTAATCTTGTCGGTATTGTGAACCTTTCATTTACAAATGCAATCCTTTATTGACTACTTTTCGCCCACACAGTGAATTTTATCAAGTTAGAAACAGATCTTGTGTGGGCGAAACGTTGTTAATAAAGGATTGCATTAAACTGTATTTGCATCTGTTTTTCAGTCAAGGTCTTACAGAACCCAGGGAATGACGGGTAATCAAATTTAATCTCCGGGAGAGAAGGTCACCTCAAATTTCTTGGATGAAGAGTCTTACACTAGAATTCAAGACGTCTTTCACAAACGAAATGTTCAATGAGGACTCTAACATTTACGGCAAAATTTATCTTTAGATTTCTTCTAGTCAGTATTTTCTACTTTCTCGGAATAGATAATACACACAATAAATTGTATTGTTAATTCTACTATGCTCTAGTTAATTAAAGTCGTCCATAATAAGTAGAGGAATATATATATTTACTCTAAATAATGTCTATTTTTTTTTTTTTTTGACACCGTCTTGCATTATGGTAGACTGAAAATCAAATTTTGTATTGAATGGGTCAGGGAACCTTCCCGAGAACGAAAAAATTATTAAATTTATTTTTACGTTTTTACACGTAGTGAGATTAAAAATGCGTTTTTTGAGAATTTGGAAAATTGAGATGGTTCGAAGTACATTGTCGTGTTAACGACTTTTTAAAAAAGGTTTTGGCAAATGTCAAAAAAATTATCGGGTAGATAGTGTACACATTTTTACTCTCAACACCAAAAAATAAATTGATTTTTTAAAATGAAATCAATATCAGTATTTTGTTTAGGTAATATATAACGCAGGAATGATATGCAGCGAAATTTGAGAAGTTTTTTGATTTCTAGTATCTACATTCCTACAATAATATAAAATAATAAAGGGGCCAGGACTATGCTAACCCCCCCTGCAACCACAGTTAGTGATACAAACTACAAGGGGGGAGTGGGGTGCTCCAGTCACAGAATCACGGGCTGCACTCCACGGTATTTATGATTGATATTTATTTTTTATTGAAAATAGTTATTTGTTGGGAAAAATTCACTATACAGAAGTTTATTGTAGCAGCGTCTGTAGCTTACCCACCCACCACCCCCCTCACTAACCCACCCCCCACTCCCTCCCCCCCCTCTCCTCCTAACCAACCGGAAAAATCACTGAAACACAAACACATATTTTGCGTCACATATTTTATTTATGTTGTAAGTCACTGATGAAAAAACAGTATCCTCTTACTCGCACATCCTCCCTTATTTCCCCCCCATCCCCCCCTCCCATTCTTTACTTCTCTTTCGCACCCTCTCACCCACCTCTCTCACCCCCCCCCCCAATCTTTAAATCCCTTCCCCCCACTCCCCCCCCCTTTTAACACCCTCTCTCTATTCACCACCTTCCCAACCCCCCCTTTCATCACCCCCCCACCAACTTTTCAACCACTTTTCCCCCCTCTCACCCACCCCTCAATCCCCTTTTGCATCACCCTCCCCTCTCTCAAACCCCCACCCTCCCACTCACAAACCCACTCACCCAACCCCTTCACCCATTCTCCCCACTCGCTCATCCATTTATTAATTTTTCCCCCCCAACCAACACTAACTCCTTCACTCACTCTCCCCCTCCTACAACCCACCTCACAAAAACTCATTGCGACGATCCACACAGCGAATAAAGTTAAGCTTATTTTAAATGCTTTTATTTCTAAAATTCCCTTTTAAAT